GTCTTCGGTATTCTTGTTTTTGGCGTGAGAATAGTTTGGGCAGGGTGAGAGCGTGAGATTGAGAGTGAAAGCGTGTGTCACACGCCAGATGCGTGAGAGTTGGCAACCCTGGTTTAGTGTGTTTCTCTCCCTGAACGTGCAACCTTTCCCAAGGTCACAACTCGCCAGCAGCTCAGATCTTTACTCAAGCACCATCGCACTCATTTGTCACTTACCATCCAATCCAACATGGCGACCCGATGGGGACTCTGTGGTGCGGGGAAGATCAGCCATGACTTCAGCGTGGCCATGAAGACTCTGCCACCTGGAGATCACCAGGTACTCTATCCAAAAAAGCCCACAACCTTCACTGTCACACTGTTCTCCTGCTGACAGAGCAACACTGTGATTAATGTGTGTGTTTTTCTCTCTTTCGCACAGATAGCAGTCATTGCATCGAGGAGCCTGGAACGTGCCAAAGAGTTTGCCAACATGCATGGTATTCCTAAGGCTTACGGCAGCTATGAGGAGCTGGCCAACGACCCGGACATTGGTGAGTAAAGAGCTGTCAGGCTGCACGGGCAGAGATAATGGCTTGTTGTGTTGCTGTTTGAAGCTGAGCCTGGAACATCTGTGTCCTCGCAGACATGGTGTACGTGGGAGTGCTGCACACAGAGCACTGGAGGGTGGGTCTGCTGTTCCTCAAGGCCGGGAAGAACGTGTTGTGTGAGAAACCTTTCGCCATGAACTCCAGGCAGGTGAAAGACCTCGTCGCCACAGCCAAGAAAAACAATGTCTTCCTCATGGAGGTAAGGATGACGGTATACAGCCTTGTAGAAACTTTGACATGGGGCCATTGCAGGTGCAGGTTAAAAGCCAACACAACACAAACACATCACAAAACATTTGGATGTGTTTAGAGATAATATTTCAAGTTTAACCTCGTCATCATACAGACATCTTGTAAAATCGGATGTATAAAATCGTTTTTAAAAGAAAAAAATAACAAAAAAGTGTTTTTATGTTGGCTTTAAATCCATGTTTTGGAACTAAGCTTGGTGCTATTTACTTTCCAACTAAAACTAGATGAGAACGTGTAGCTTAGTGTAACATAAAGGCTGCACATTTGTCATCTGAGTGATGACAAAGCATAGTTGCTGCTGGTCCGTTTACATGCATAAAAACCTTCATAACACACAAGGGGACGGGTAATAACCAGAAAAGCATGACATGGGCCCTTTAAAATGCTAATCGGACAGATTTAGAGCTGCTGGTTTATGGATGTTGTCCCATGAGAATAAACAGGGCTGGCAATTATCTGTTTTTCTGATTTAATACCAAGCTAAGCTAACCAGCACGAATATTTACCGACGTGAGAGTATAGTCCATTTTGTCATATAACTCTCTGCAGGAAAGCAAATAAGAGTTTTCCTATTGTGTAGATTAGAACTATGACTTAAACCCTTTGTAGCAGGTGGTTTGATACAAGTAAGTGTACACATATTAAAATTTAATTTTAAGTGGATATCTCATTGCATTTGAACTCAGCAGTGGCATGATGGTGCAATGAGGGCAGATATTTTAAGCACAGGAGATTAATGTAGGAAGCAAAACCCTGAACGTCCTGGGAATATTTATGACTCATGGTGCAGTAAAACATCTTGTCATGTCATGTTTAACCAGCACATCTGCCACAGCAGTGCACAGGAGTAGGAGGAAGTGGGGAGCTCAGCTGTGGTAATAAACTGCTGCCTGGGTGAAGCTCCAGTCTGAGCTGTTTACTGTTGCAGCGGTGCTAGGTTGTCTGCTCTGCCCCTCTCAGGCCATCTGGTCCCGCTGCTTCCCCCTGTATGCTGAGGTGCGCAGGCTGCTGGCGGAGGAGGCGGTAGGGGAGGTGAAGCTGGTGAAGGCCTACTTCGGCTCCCCACAGCTCCACATCCCCCGCTCGGTGGAGAAGGAGCTGGGAGGTGGCGCACTGCTGGACATCGGAGTGTACTGCCTGCAGTTTGTGCTGATGGTGTTCAACGGAGAGAGGCCGGAGTCCATCCAGGCCACAGGGGTGCTGCTCGACTCAGGTATGATTCAGCACACAGCAGTATATAGTTGTATGCAGATTTGTATCATTACCCACACAGCATGAATCAGAGATTACAAAGTGGTTATTGAAAGCATCAAAAATAAAGTCCAAAAGGAAGTAAGAACCCCTACTGGGAAGCAGAAGAAACTTACAGAAAATCTCTTTTTTTATGAATTGTCCAAAAAGTAAACACCTCAGGGAAGAATTCTCCACACAGAAAATCCCAGACTTATCTTTAAAATGTCAGACTAATCCAAATCCTCCCCGGGGGAATACAGTAATACAGTCATAGTGACAGGGGAATATGTAACTGCATGTCTCACAGCAGCAAGATAACCTTCAATTTAAGTCCACACTATTCATGTAATGAGCATTTTCTTATCTTTTACTTACCTTACCTAAGTTTTCGTTTTGTACAGCTGTGACCTTTTCTTTTGAATCAGAAGGTGATGCCAGTAAAGCTGAATAGAAGTGGACTGATTTGACCCAATTGTAGTTTGCTGAAGAGCCGTGTATTAAAATGACCTGAACTGAACTGAATGGAACTTACTCAACAGTAATATTCATACCATTTATTCAACCCATGTTTCAATGCGTTACTTTTCAAATGTTTTGCAGGAGTGGATGAGTCAGTGGTTGTTGTGATGAAGTTTTCCAGGAACAGGATGGCCTTCTGCACATTTTCAATTGCTGTCCGGCTTCCCAACGATGCTGTCATCGCCGGCACTAAGGGCTCCATTAAAGTACGCTATGCTAGTCTTTCACATGAACATTGTACTTAATCAAGAAATGATTGAGACATGCAAAAACTGAGTTGACTGCTAATTAGTTTCACGTTTAATTAGATATCCATACCAACTGCATTTGATGATGCACGAGTTGAGTAATTGGATTAACACAAACATGCATTTCCTGTTCTCCCTTCAGGTTCTTGGCCCCATGCACTGCCCTACCACACTCGTAGTGAACGACAAAGAGTTGGAGTACCCGCTGCCCGAACCTGGCCTCCCTTTGAATTTCGACAACAGCACCGGGCTTCGCTTTGAGGCAGAGGAAGTGAGGCAATGCCTGCTTAAAGGTACGTCATGACAAAAGGAAAGTGTATTTGTCTTCGAAGAGATAAAAGGTAGGTTGAGTTTGAAAGAAAGAAGCTGCAATTCAATGAAACAGAGGCTTACCTGGAGCTTCTTGTGGATATTTGCATGAAAACACAAACACACTCATCAGATTGATTCCGAATCAATGCTGTTATCAGTCCTTGGATGTCCTCCGGCTTACATCACGCTCCTATTGGTTTGCCTCCTATGTACATTTACATAATCTTTACATCCTTGCTTTGATGTTTTAATGTTGCATTGTGAGCGTTTGTATAATTTAACCGTGGTTATAAACAGGCGTGTGTGTCAGATTTTCCTGTGAAACTCCTTTTTATCCGCAGGACTTAAGGAGAGCCCACGGATGCCTCTGGCAGACTCGGTCTTACTGACAGAGATCATGGATGAAATCAGGAAGCAGGTGGGAGTTGTCTTCAGTCAGGACAGCCAGTAACATACCTCTGAAGATGGGATGTTTCACCTGACCTAAACCAACTCAGACGGAACAGAGGGAGCTGCTCGGGGCGGGCTTTGAATCTTTGGTATTAGCAGATCACTCATTGCACCGTGTGACAACTGTGACCTGGATAACAAACTGCTGCCACCAAATGAATATACAATCTGGATATTATTAGAATTTATGTAAATCTTGGATGGCTTAATTACGGTCTGTTTTCATTTAAATGCATCTTTTAGACACATTAGAGCTCCAAACATTGTAATTTCCCCCAAGATTGATCATATTTGATACAGTACACGACAAAATGTGACACTGTCAGTTTAAAAATGTCCTAAACCAGATAAATCACCATGTAAACAACCCATGTCCTGTAATCAAGTTGTAGAGTCTTACCAAAACAAACCCATCTGTCAGTGCAGGCTGTGTGATTGATGAATCCAATAAAGGAATGATTGTGAAAGCCTTGTTTCATTTCAAATATCATCCGCTGGAGAGAAGAGGAGACTTCGAGTGGCACTTTTAAATCAAAGTGTCACGTCTGACCCCTGCAGCCGTGTACAAATAGACTCATGTACTCCATACAAAAATAGGTTGCACTGTCTGCTTTTCAAGGTTAGGACGGAGGAAGGCCTTTATGAGTCAGCAAAGTGCATGGCTCATTTAATAATGGTTGTAACCTTTTGGGCTCATATAGGACTCTGGAGGCTGTCTCTATACAGTCCATGAATGCAAAATGGGAACATTCTCATGCACTGCCATTATTGTGCATGTTGTAGTTGGTAATTGAATAATAATTAACACTTTGAAGGGTAGTAATCAAGAAGTTAAAAGTGTGAGGACATTATTAACAATGACATGCTCATTTATTTGTCTATTGTGTGCCGTTTTGTGCCACAGCATCGACATATTAAATGTTCTTATTTAATAAAGAGGTTAAATTAATTGACCATTCAGCCTCAAGCATTACATGAATAAACATACTGTGGACTAACAAACAATCCCAGTATTTGTCACCTCTAACCAGAACCAACAGGGCTGTTAAAATCATGTTAAGTCAAAATGAAATACAGAATAAGGTAACAGACATATGTAGTCAAATAGTAGATAATACAAATATACCAAAAGTAATTGCAATGGTTAAAACTACAACTCTGTGTCACTAGCAGGGAAGAAAAGGAGATCAGATAGGATAAGAGAAAAACAAGACAACAGTTTTTTCTAGTGTTATGGTCCCTCTCTGGAGGTCACGTTTTTGTACAAATCCTCATGTTATTTTTGTGCACAGTCACACAGTTAAATATGATACTGCGGCTCCACCTTGTGGCAGAAGAGTGCCACTGTTTTATATAAAGTCAGATTTCCAACTCAATCTGATTATTTCCTGTCCAACATGGCTACCAGGTGGGGAATCTGCAGCTCGGGGAGGATCAGTCATGACTTCACTGTGGCTCTGAAGACCCTTCCTCCTGAAGACCACCAGGTAGTACCAGCAGCAGCAGCAGAAGCGCACACACATTTAAATATTTAGTTTGCAACACGTCTCGACTACAGTCTATACACAGAACCCAGCTTTTCGCTCCGTGCAGAGTGTGTGTATCCGCTGACAGTTCACACACATTTCTTACAGTCTATGGTTAAAGTAAAATCCAGTGTTGATGATGTGCAACATGCAGCTTTAAAGAGTTTATAGACATTTCAAACTACAGTCTGCGGCGTCGCCTGGAAGCCCCGAATGTTTTTTCTGTAGCCCCGGACAATTCTCCCTCAATAATATGATACATTAACCGTGCTTTACCTAAACCTCATCATGACACTAGAGAGGACGGCAGGATTGTAATTTCCCGTGTTCAGTGAATGCAACAGAGGCAAGCAGCGGTGCCAGCAGGGACCGTGTTGTTAGCATCTGGTTAGCTAGCTGCACTAGCGGACATAAGGAGCTGTATGTTCCACAACAAGCTAGAGTGTTTAGATAGTTAACTTTAGTCTAAGTTATCTCAGTGGGTCTCAAACGGTTTGGTCACTCACGAATTATGTAAAATATTATTTCCGAGGCACACCTTCATACGATCATTATAATTAAAAAAAAATAAGAGAATAAATGAAAAACAGTTATGAAATACTATATGACAGTAAAACAAGAATACAGTTTAAAAGGGGAGTGATTAGTAAAATATCCATAAAGAAAGACCTTCTATTTCTGGGGGCTTTTCATTAAGGTGGAACAGGATTAGCCTACCTTGTTGTGGTGAATAATATTATAAACTGGATTTACAGGTTGTGGCTGTGGCAGCTCGTGAATTAGAGGATGCACAGGAGTTTGCCACAAAGCACAGCATCTCCCGAGTTTACGGCAGCTATGAGGAGCTGGCCAGAGATCCAGACATAGGTTAGTTTCTTTCAGACCTGGGTCACATCAGATTGTTTGATGGCGCTTTTACTACTCTTGTATTCAGTTTGAACCACAACTGTCTTGATTTCCTGTGGGTTTTTTACTGTAATATGTTGACATCACTGCATGATCTCTGGTTTGTGTCTTTTTGTGAATGCAGATGTTGTGTACATTGGAGTTATCCACCCCTACCATCTGAGCACTTGCCTGCTCTTCACAAATGCCAAGAAGAACGTGCTGTGTAAGAAGCCGCTGGCCATGAACACCAAGAGGGTGAAGGAGTTCCTGTCCTCTGCCAAGAGGAATGATGTCTTTCTCATGGAGGTAAGGATGGAGTCAGTCCAAACAAATACATGTACAATTTGCAATAGCTTTAGTCTGTCTCCTACGGTGGCCGTCAGGTGCAAACGCGGAACAACGGCCAAAAACGCATACATAAGCAGGAAACACCAGCAAATAATGAAATGAATAACAAACAAACCCTGAAAACAAACACAACCAAAAAACGCTACATTTACAGAAATGATGCAAACTAAATACAACACAACAGAAAAACGCTGCAAATACAAAAACGATATGCAAAGTCAAAAACACATACAAACCCAAAGAAAACCTGCCACACGCAATACATGTTCAGTGTCTATTCTTTGTATATTTACTGCAGTTTTTCATGTATACCAGTAGTCTGATACAATATGTACAGTTTGAAAGGGTGTTAAATGAAATGTGGTGATGATTAATGTGTTTTGTGTTAATGTAATAGCAGTTAAAACAGGACCGGTCAAATTTGACAGAGAACACCAAAGTAAGGGGGGGAAAACGAAGACAATAGGAGGGTTAAGTGGACAAAGTCGTCAATATATAAGAAGGTACGTTTTGTTTTGTTTTGATACATAGAGCGTCATATTTACGTAGCTAGCGTTATCGTGTTTGATAAAAGAGCTTGCAAGAGACAGCATTTTGCACCTAAATGTAACTCTTGACATAATATAGATATAGTATAGAAGGTGCAGAGAGGAGAACTCAAAGTGAAAAGGAGGGAAGAGCATATAGCACTAGTTAAACACCAATTATATAATAATAATACTACATTTGATTTCTAAGCGCTTTTTCAGGTGCTCAATGACACTTTACAGTGGTGATAAAAAGGAAATAAAATAAAATATTAAAACAGCAACACAACATAATTCACACATTAAAAGCCAGTCTGAAGAGGTGTGTTTTGAAGGTGGGGGGGTCGGTGCAGTCTCAGATGTTTAATGGAAGTGAGTTCCAGAGGGAGGGGGCAGCGATGGAGAAGGCTCTGTCCCCCCAGGTTCGGTGCTTGGTTTGTGTGGGGATAGACAGGAGGTTGGCTTCTGATGAGTTCATTAAAAGACCCTTCTTTAATACTATTATAATATTTAGTTAGCCACTCTTTTTGACTTAACCTAGCTGTCCTACATTTTATTTCTCCACAGATGCACTGTCCATTCTGTGGGTCCAGCGTGACAGCTCCCCATGGCTTTTGTGGTGGCTGTGGCGGAGACATCACGTTTCTAAAGGATATGCCTAACAAAGTCCCTGAGGAGATGCCCACCACTAGTGCACATCTAAGTGCACAGCCTAGCACCAGTGCAGGTAAATAGGTTTGATTACCGAAAAATAAGTATTTATAGAAAACTTGGTTTAAAGTTTGAATTCTGTTATTATACAAATACATCTCTAAACTATGTGGCTTACCTACTGTTGAATGTGTTCTAAGATGTTCCACAGAAGGGATGTTGAGGATGAGACTCCTATTGAACATAATGATGAGTAATTCATGTTTTATTCCTGTGTTTTTTTGTAGGGTCCTTATATGGGGAAATACAAAAGAAAATAGTGAAGGTATGCAACGTTTTCTATTATGAATACATCTGTAATTCACATCTGGTCACCACACTCATATAATGTCCGAAGACTTTAGCATATTCATTTTTAAAATATTTTATTCATTTGCATGTTATTGTCTTTTGCAGATTTCTGTTGGAGTAATGAGGATGATGGATGGCTGCCTTAGACCTGTGAGAGGGACGTTACTCCCCCTTGATGTTGAACCGCAATGGTCATGTCAAGAACTGTTGACTGCTGCCATAAAAAAGCAGAAAGCTTTTAACCAGGTCGTGGAAGATGGTGCCCATGTTTTGTTGTACCCTGATGTGAGGGAGGTTACAAATATCCCCGGAACGGACATCCCTTTCACAGTGGAGATGTACAAAAAGACCAGTGGAAAGCCCTACCAACGAATTAAGTTGTACACCTGTACTGTTGAAGACTTTGAAAACAGTTGTAAGTGCTTCTGACATATATTCCCCCTTGTTTAAAGCACTAAACTGTATAATAATTCAAATGTAAACATAACAGTTGTGCTGTCTATATTTCTTAACACAATTCATTCCACCCATCATTCCTTTCTCTTCGTGGTTGAACTTAAATTTCACAAAAATGTTGTGTTTCGATTTAATCCTTTCTGATTGATGTCAATGCAATAATTCAGGATTCAAACCAACATTTGATGATAGGTACAGACGGAGGGGAACAATTCTTTTTATAGTATTAATCATGACACTTTTATTTTCTTAGGTTACACTGGAACAACTTCAAGTGAAGACGACGGTGTGGTCCGTGTACATTTGCCGTTCCAAATGTTCCGATAGAGAGCACTCCAAGAATGGACAACAGTTTGCCAGGGTAAAATAAAACGTTGTCAACATATTATTTTGTGCCACAAGAAGCACAATGTTTTAACAGTACAGTAGTTTGAATATATTTGTTGTTTACCTTTATCAGACCTCAGGCACCCTAAATCAGCATCTGATATCAATCTTGATATTTAAAAAAGCAAAAAACGAACAGGACTCCTCCTCAGTGACATCCTGATGTTCTCAACAGGATTAAACACCCTGCCACCGTCTGGAATTCAGCCGAGACCCCAATAGATTTTTCAGCGGACATCTCGCTTTCCAATCGGCAGAACCTGCTCAAACACATGTCAAGCACCTACGAACAGTTTGAAAGCAACATGGACTTTGGAATCAGAAATCCGCCTGGTTTTGGACTTTATTAAGTGTGCTAGTGACTTATCCGACCGGCCCACCTCGGTGCCGCAAGTAAATACCGCTAGTGAATTGTCAACGGGGTGGGGGGGTGCTAGTGACTTATCCGACCGGCCCACATCGTCCGATCGGCCCACTTCAGTACCGGCCCCTGCTCCCAGGTCAAGGGTTGCATTAGATCACTCGTTTTTTGAAGGTTCTAAAATTGTTCCTGGAAGTGGTCGTCTCCACATGGACTGTTGGTCGAGTTCAGTACAAACTGGTCCAAGTCGTCTTATGGGACTGGGAACCCACAGTCAGTTCCACCGTACCTGGATGTGAAATATGCACACAAACAGTTTATTATTCACATGTACAAAATTGTTCTTAAAATCTTGTTTTGTTGTTGAACTTGTTTGAAAATTAAAAAAGTTACTGTCACATAATAGTAGACATTATTTGAGTAATAACTGACATGAGGTGAACAGATTATGACACAATCTTAATTTATAGGGAAAAATGTACTTTGGGGCAACTGATTTTTTCTTTGAATTTTAGGCAGTTATTAAAAATAAATCTATACAAAAATTAAGAAATGTTTAATTGATAGAAACAAACCTGTGTGGCAGGTTGTACATGACATCTGGATTTTCAGATGAACAACGAGAGGTCTGATAATATGCGTGTTCCACTTCTCCCTGCATTCGTCAAGGTCCCTCTGTAGCACACCCATGAAGACAAACCGCACTAGGCATGTGTGCGCATGACTGCCACTGAAGTGATGTCTTTCTCTCAGGTCATTCATGAGATCCATCCAAAATTGAGACCTGAAGAAACAGATTCAAATGAGAGCTTTTTTTGTATACATTGATGATTTCCATGGGATGGGATTCAAAATAAATATATAAAACACATTCATCAAATAACAGTAAACCTGTGGTATGAAATAGTAATACTTTTAAGAACTTTATGAAGGAACAGAGAGAGATAAAGGGGTAATCTGTGTCTTAACTGATGATTCCGATCAATTACATTTAAAAGGAAATCAACCACATAGATGGTGCAGAGTTTAGTTGTAAAACAATTATTTTAGGAGATAGGAACTAATACACTGAAATTACATTACTTTTGATAGATTGACTATGTTCACTGTCAAGGATGTACAAAAAAAAAAAGAAGCACCACACCTGTCTTCTGAAGTACGACCACCAGCTTTCAATTCTTTGATTTGCTGTTGAAGAGCCATACATGTGACTGGCAGCCCCAGCTAAATGGTCAGTGTGTCTTGATCTTAAAGCACACTGGATGGCGGCCAATGTGCCGTTTTCAGTGCCACAGTCTGTATATATATTTGTTCTTGAGCATGTCTAATGCACACTACTATCCTGTAATTACTTTGTCCCTCTTCAAATTTTCTCTCTCTCTCTCTCTCTCTCTCTCTCTCTCTCTCTTCAAATGTCCTTTTTACTCACTATGGCACGTGTTATTTACCTGCACTTGATTCGTCATCTCTTAACAATGTTCTTCCCTCACTTTATCTTTTCACGTGAAGCTCTCCTCTCCTCAGCTGGTGTAGTCGTTAGGCACGCTAACGCTAGCTACGTAAATACATAGACGCTCTATGTAATAAAACAAAACTTACCTTCTTATATATTGGCTTTGTCCACTTAAATCAACTTTTTTTCCCTCCGGCTTCCATTTCCATCACTCGTTCTATCTGTCTATGTCTGGTCAGACATCGATCTGTTTCACGTAACGCGCCCCCTAGAGGCCTGGAGCACTTCCGCTATGTTTTGCATTTGTTTTTGGGTTTGTAGCTATGTATTTTTGACTTTGCATATCGTTTTTGTATTTGCAGCGTTTTTCTGTTGCGTTTGTTTTCGGGGTTTGTGTGTTGTATTTAGTTTGCATCATTTCTGTAAATGTAGCGGTTTTTTTGTTGTATTTGTTTTCAGGGTTTGTTTGTTTTTCATTATTTGCAGGTGTTTCCTGCTTATGTGTGCGTTTTTGGCCGTTGTTCCGCGTCTACACCTGACGGCCACCGTAGTCTCCTCCACTTTTCACATGCAAAATCAAACTTAACATTAAAACTTTCTAATGTAAGTCAACTACTAAATAAGATTACACAAAGCTAGCACTAAACTGTGACTGTGTGACTGCCTCCTGCCCCCCCCCCCAGGCTGTATGGACCAGATTCTTCCCAGCCTCAGTGGAGATCAGGCGGCTGGTGGACCAGGGGGAGGTGGGAGAGGTGAAGATGGTGAGGTCGGAGTTTGGCGTGCCGATTTCGCACGTGCCGAGGTCGGGCCAGAAGGAGCTGGGCGGAGGAGCAATTGACAGGAATAGTAGTGTGCATTAGACATGCTCAAGAACAAATATATATACAGAATGTGTCACTGAAAACGGCACAATGGCCGCCATCCAGTGTGCTTTAAGATCAAGACACACTGACCATTTAGCTGGGGCTGCCAGTCACATGTATGGCTCTTCAACAGCAAATCAAAGAATTGAAAGCTGGTGGCCATACTTCAGAAGACAGAGGTGTGGTGCTTCTTTTTTTTTGTACATCCTTGACAGTGAACATAGTCAATCTATCAAAGGTAATGTAATTTCAGTGTATTAGTTCCTATCTCCTAAAATAATTGTTTTACAATTAAACTCTTTACCATCTATGTGGTTGCTGATTTCCTTTTAATGTAATTGATCGGAATCATCAGTTAAGACAGATTACCCCTTTATCTCTCTCTGTTCCTTCATAAAATTCTTAAAAGTATTACTATTTCATACCACAGGTTTACTGTTATTTGATGAATGTGTTTTATATATTTATTTTGAATCCCATCCCATGGAAATCATCAATGTATAAAAAAAAGCTCTCATTTGAATCTGTTTCTTCAGGTCTCAATTTTGGATGGATCTCATGAATGACCTGAGAGAAAGACATCACTTCAGTGGCAGTCATGCGCACACATGCCTAGTGCGGTTTGTCTTCATGGGTGTGCTACAGAGGGACCTTGACGAATGCAGGGAAAAGTGGAACACGCATATTATCAGACCTCTCGTTGTTCATCTGAAAATCCAGATGTCATGTACAACCTGCCACACAGGTTTGTTTCTATCAATTAAACATATTTCTTAATTTTTGTTCAGATTTATTTTTAGTAACTGCCTAAAATTCAAAGAAAGAATCAGTTGCCCCAAAGTACATTTTTCCCTATAAATTAAGATTGTGTCATAATCTGTTCACCTCATGTCAGTTATTACTCAAATAATGTCTACTATTATGTGACAGTAACTTTTTTAATTTTCAACAAAACAACATTTTAAGAACAATTTTGTACATGTGAATAATAAACTGTTTGTGTGCATATTTCACATCCAGGTACGGTGGAACTGACTGTGGGTTCCCAGTCCCACAAGACGACTTGGACCAGTTTGTTCTGGACTCGACCAACAGTCCATGTGGAGACGACCACTTCCAGGAACAATTTCAGAACCTTCAAAGAACGAGTGGTCTAATGACCTTGACCTGGGAGTCCTGTGTTGCGAATCATATAAACATGAAGAACATGACTAATTTGTAAATTATAAGCCCAGCTTTCAATAAAGTCCAAAACCAGGCACATTTCTGATTCCAATGTCCATGTTGCTTTCAAACTGTTCGTAGGTGCTTGACATCGGTATTTCAATTGTGTTTGAGCAGGTTCTGCCGATTGGAAAGCGAGATGTCCGCTGAAAAGTCAATTGGGGTCTCGGCTGAATTCCAGACGGTGGCAGGGTGTTTAATCCTGTTGAGAACATCAGGATGTCACTGAGGAGGAGTCCTGTTCGTTTTTCTGTGAAGAAAAAGTAGTATTAGGTTTTTTTTAAATATCAAGATTGATATCAGACGCTGGTTTAGGGTGCCTGAGAGGTCTGATAAAGGTAGACAAAAAATGTATTCAAACTACTGTACTGTTAAAACATTGTGCTTCTTGTGGCACAAAATAATATGTTGACGTTTTATTTTACCCTGGCAAACTGTTGTCCATTCTTGGAGTGCTCTATCGGAACGGCAAATTTACATGGACCACACCGTCGTCTTCACTTGAAGTTGTTCCAGTGTAACCTAAGAAAATAAAAGTGTCATGATTAATACTATAAAAAGAATTGTTCCCCTCCGTCTGTACCTATCATCAAATGTTGGTTTGAATCCTGAATTATTGCATTGACATCAATCAGAAAGGATTCAATGGAAACACAACATTTTTGTGAAATGTACATTATATTGTTGACCGTCCTTTTCACTCTCACATTAGGATTTACATTGGGTCACAACAAACCAACATTGTTGTGAGAAAAAAGGTTTATTTAGAATTACAATCCTTAAGAGGGAATTTATATTTAGTTTGAACAGAAGGAAAGTTTGGAAGCTTTTGTTGATACTTAAATTCCGTTTCTTCTGCCACTATTCATAAAAGACCATTTGACCTCATAAGTTCAACCACGAAGAGAAAGGAATGATGGGTGGAATGAATTGTGTTAAGAAATATAGACAGCACAACTGTTATGTTTACATTTGAATTATTATACAGTTTAGTGCTTTAAACAAGGGGGAATATATGTCAGAAGCACTTACAACTGTTTTCAAAGTCTTCAACAGTACAGATGTACAACGCAATTCGTTGGTATGGCTTTCCACTGGTCTTTTTGTACATCTCCACTGTGAAAGGGATGTCCGTTCCGGGGATATTTGTAACCTCCCTCGAATCAGGGTACAACAAAACATGGGCACCATCTTCCACGACCTGGTTAAAAGCTTTCTGATTTTTTATAGCAGCAGCCAACAGTTCTTGACATGACCATTGCGGTTCAACATCAAGGGGGAGTAACCTCCCTCTCACAGGTCTAAGGCAGCCATCCATCATCCTCATTACTCCAACAGAAATCTGCAAAAGACAATAACATGCAAATGAATAAAAACATTGTTTAAATGAATACGCTAAAGTCTTCGGACATTATATGAGTGTGGTGACCAGATGTGAATTACAGATGTATTCATAATAGAAAACGTTGCATACCTTCACTATTTTCTGTTTCTTTTCCTTATATAAGGACCCTACAGCTGAGCTTCCTGCTACAAAAAAACACAGGAATAAAACATGAATTACTCATCATTATATTCAATAGGAGTCTCATCCTCAACATCCCTTCTGTGGAACATCTTAGAACACATTCAACAGCCACATAGTTTAGAGATGTATTTGTATAATAACAGAATTCAAACTTTTAAACCAAGTTTTCTATAAATACTTATTTTTCGGTAATCAAACCTATTTACCTGCACTGGTGCTAGGCTGTGCACTTAGATGTGCACTAGTGGTGGGCATCTCCTCAGGGACTTTGTTAGCCACATCCTTTAGAAATGCGATGTCTCTGCCACAGACACCACAAATGCCATAGGGAGATGTCACGCTGGACCCACAGAATGGACAGTGCATCTGTGGAGAAATCAAATGTAGGACAGCTAGGTTAAGTCAAAAAGAGTGGCTAACTAAATATTATAATAGTATTAAAGAAGGGTCTTTTAATTAACTCATCAGAAGCCAACCTCCATTTATTTGTTTGGACTGACTCCATCCTTACATCCATGAGAAAGACATCATTCCTCTTGGCAGAGGACAGGATCTCCTTCACCTCCTTGGTGTTCATGGCCAGCGGCTTCTCACACAGCACGTTCTTCTTGGCATTTGTGAAGAGCATCAGACGGTAGGGGTGGTACACTCCAATGTACACAACATCTGCATTCACAAAAAGACACAAACCAGAGATCATGCTGTGATGTTTTTCAATGTCAAAATATATATTACAGTATATAACCACAGGAAATCAAGACAGTTGTGGTTCAAACTGAATACAAGAGTAGTAAAAGCGCCATCAAACAATCTGATGTGACCCAGGTCTGAAAGACACCAACCTATATCTGGATCTCTGGCCAGCTCCTCATAGCTGCCGTAAACTCGGGAGATGCTGTGCTTTGTGGCAAACTCCTGTGCATCCTCTAATTTACGAGCTGCCACAGCCACAACCTGTAAATCCAGTTTATAATATTATTCACCACAACAAGGTAATCCTGTTCCACCTTAATGAAAAGCCCCCAGAAATAAAATGTGCTTGCAGAAACATGATAACACTGACTACTGGAAATGTGAACTTATTATTTCCATATTCAATTTTCTGTGTAAACTTAATAACTGAATGTTTCTCTTGCTAAAACTGTGCATTTCTCAGTGTTTGGAGGCAGCTATACTTTACAATAGTAACCCATTTATAGTCAGTTTAAAGATTCAATAAATATAGTCTTTCTAGCAAAATATTGTTTTTGAGTGGTACGCAGCTATTTAATATTTTTGCATTAATGTTTTCATTGTTGGGTACCGTAATTACTCGGTTATAGAGTAAAAATAAAAAGTAGGTGACCATTTAGTGTGTACTTTACGGTAAAAAAACAAAGCGTGCCAAAGTGTTAAAAAAGGCTGCAGACTGTAGTTTGAAATGTCTATAAAACTCTTTAAAGCTGCATGTTGCACATCATCAACACTGGATTAAGACTTTACTTTAACCATCTGTAAGAAATGTGTGTGAACTGTCCGCGGATACACACACTCTGCACGGAGCGAAAAGCCTCGCTGGGTTCTGTGTATAGACTGTAGTCGAGACGTGTTGCAAACTAAAGATTTAAATATGCGCTTCTGCTGGTACCTGGTGGTCTTCATGAGGAGGGGTCTTCAGAGCCACAGTGAAGTCATGACTGATCCTCCCCGTGCTGCAGATTCCCCACCTGGTTGCCATGTTGGACGAGTAGCATGTTCCTGCAGCCCCGGAGACCCTTCTCTCCCAAACACTAGCCCGCGGTGTTTGAGCAGTAAAGTGATTCCACTCAAACAGAGTTGGTACAGCTCCTTTCACAAGCCTCCTACGGCCATCAAGGGTTTTTGGCTCTATTAGTTGATCCGTGGCGAAGTGACGACTGCAGACCTTGGAGTGAGAGGAGATTGTGAAGTTATCGCGTCGTATGTTTACCAGCCACTGTCTTCGCAGCTCGAGTTCGGTCGGAAAGCCATGAAAACTTAGGACGCCGTTGCATTTAGCTGACGCCGTACAAAGTGGGACACAGCAGTGCTCGGAGTAGTTCTTCAATTGTCTTTGCAATTGTTCCGTTTTGAAAATCTTCCGTGGCAAACTCATATTTAATCCATAGATTTAAACTGACTAAAACTTTTGTGGACGATCTTCCGCTCAGCTACGCAGACCGGAAGCAGCCTAGCCGTATTACGTAGAAGCCGGAAGTACGCCTCAGACCCTAGTGCATTTAGCCCAAGGTTGCGTTCGAATACTCCAAAAAAACAGCTCCTAAATTCTAACCCTATCGTCTATTCCTTGACCTCGGAGTGAAACGTCATGGGGTTAAGGGATAGTGGATAGGAGAATTCAAAAGGATTTAGGAGAAGAGACTGCGGTACTTTAGAGAATCCGACTGCACTTTCACTATCCAACGTGTTTATGATGCGCCAGCAGAGGTCATAAATGTGCGCCTGCTGCTGTGGGGAAACTATGGAAACTACAGTTTTCTATACAGCGGACTACAACATGGATGTTTAATAAGAACGAGGGACTACTGTAAACTCATCTAGAGACTCTGCACCGTGCTCTGATGCTGTTGTTGTATGCTTTATGAACGGGGACAACAGAGAAACATATTCTTCATGACCAAAGTTGGAATTGAAATAAAAAAGGAAAGTGAAACTTATGCTCGTCACCCTCTCCCTCCGGTCCTCATTAATACAAATGATCCCAATACGTATGATTGTATGAAAAGATCTTAAAATCAATACAAATGTATTTATTATAACCGTTAGTCCTTAACATCTATCACTGTGTATATCACCATTCAAACATCTTTTAAAAGTTGAACAAACCCCACACAGCTCAGTAAAGACTGTGAAATGTTGATTTTATTTGATCATTTCAGTAAAAACTAACGTTCATATTTCTCTTTTTGATTATAATACTGATGAACGTTCAAAACAAAGCACTTTGGCAACTTACCACATACGTTTTAAAATGCTTAATAAGCACCGTAACTTTCATGATATCATTTCTCGTTCATAATCGGTTGTTTTTCCGTGGACGGCCGACTGTTGGGTGACGGCAAATGCCGCGGCCGCAAGGCATTGTGGGGCAGCATTTTCTCCTCTCCTTTCGGTTAGGGAGGTCCAGTGGTTCCTAAGCTAAAGGAGGTTATAAAGGAAGTTTGAAACCTCCTTTCCTTTTAATTTAGAGAATTCGAACGGCACTTATCATGGCTGCCACTGAGGGACTTCCGGGTCATTTCACTCCGTTAGGAAGGTTCCTAAGCTAAATGGACTATTCGAATGCAACCCAAGCCCCCAGGAAGTGCGCCGGACTCAGATGAAAATATTCGTGCTGGCCAAACGGCGGTACTACACTTCCTTTTGGTTGCCAGGCCCGGAAACACTTTTTCCCATTGACTTACATGGGGAAAGAGTGGTCTGTAAATCGTTGGATAATTTTTTTTAAACTAAATAAACTACCCAGTATGAACACTTGTATAGCCCTTATTAAAAACATTCGTTCCTCAAGTTGTAAAAATGTGCTAATAACGTTATTCTGTGAGTTATTTCCCTCTGCATTATGAACGCGCATCTAACCCACGGGACCGCGCCGCCCGGCACGTTCATGTTACGTGTTCAGCACTACATGCGTTTATCTTTACCCATGGATGTACAATAAGAACGGACCCATATCGCCTTACTGCCAGCCCACGGAGCTGTAATAATGGATATATTGCACATGTTTGCTGTAATTCATCATTTGTAAAATATTATACTATATGGGCTGTATGATTAAATCTTGTACCGTAAATGTTGTATTAAATAAAGTTAATATTACCGACGTAGATTAACGTCCCTGTAGCTTCTTATTGCACTAAAAAGCTTATTGCACTGTATATATATATACATACATATATATATATATATATATATATATACAGTGCAATAATTATTTCATGCTAAATGAAGCTCTGTTGCTTGGATATCACTAGATCCTGTTACAGCGTAATATAAAAGTACATAACGATTGATGTGTAAATTAGCATAATTACTAGCTAACCGCTAGCTGCTAACTGCCGCCTCGTTAATATAAAATCTATCATAATAACAAACCATTACCATGCTGTCATGAACGTGCGGTGCTGTTACGTGTATGCAAATTTCGCTCTCTCAAAAGTTGGGCCATTTTATCATCATGCGCGAATGAGCAACTCTCATAGGAATGAATGAGGCCCCGCCTCCCACGCTGTATCCAGTTCTTACTATACATCCATGATTTAGCCTGCCGTATTCATGGTTACCACGTGACGTCACTGTATTCTAGCGCCACCATTTTGGTGTCCGGTCACAGCAAGTCATTACAACAACAGAGGCCGGCCGTGTCTCAATTCAGGGGCTTCACCCTTCGGAGTACACAGCCTACGCGGTCCACGGAGGACCCAGCCCACGTAGACCGGGTAGGCTGGACCGAGCGGCCTACGAAATGAGACGGTCTAGCCTACGGAGCGCTTCGTATTTACGTCACGTGATACGCGTTGTTCGGTTGCGTTGCTCCAGCAGTCTGCTAGCAAATTAGCTTACAAGCTAACTCACCTGAAAAGGATCCAGAAACTTTACTTTTACTTTTACATTTTTTGGAGATCACCGTCGGCGATGAAATAAAGAGAACCATGGCCAGGTAAATAAGATGAAGCTGTTCCTTTAGCCCCCAGTAATGTTACATTAGTAAGTTAACAAGTACATTATATATAGCTGATGTACTGTAGCCTACTAATAAAACAATATGTTTTTTAAATGAACAAAAGCATGTTGTATAGATTGATTCTTAACAATATTAGTGTTCTAATCTTAATAGCTGTGATTATAACAGTTTATATTCTTCTTCTTCCCCTAAACCAGCCCAGATGATGTCCCACTGACACCAGAGGCCTGTACTACGAAGCCGGATTTTCGCTTAGCCGGCTGACTTCAGGGAAAACTCGGGCTTTCCGGTCCTACGACGCTGGTTCTCTTTTTAGCGGGCTAGATCTCCATGGTAATTTATGCTGAGCGGCTAACCTCCTCGGGAGGAGGTTAGGTTGCAGGCTAAGAGATCAACTCAGTGAAAGCACCGCCTGCTGACCAATCAGAGCTCCGTGTGCGGAGTTTAAAGCTATCAAGTCATATTGGATAGAGGAAATACAGAAAAACTGCCGTTGCAGGAAAGACGGCCGGCAAAAATCAACTGACTGTGTGAACGTGAAAATGAATAGAATATCCCCTCCCATCTTCAGAGCAATCTGACTATTATAACATTAGCGTTAAGAAAGCTTACTTAAATATCTGCCACAACATAAGTAACCGGATCAGAGTAACATTAAGTACAGTCCGCGGCACTGTGAGTGCAGACGTCGATGTGTCCCATTATCATTCATATCATATCACATCATAATGTATCATATATTTCCTTAAATATTTGAGTCAGCTTCTTGAGCCGTATCTGGCCGTGCAACACTCACAGTGTCACATACTGTATGCAGAAGTATTATTTTAAGCAACACATTAAGTTGACGAAACACTCGAGTCAAATGTAATTAAAGTCAGATCCACTCGTGTCTTGGACTGGGCAGTGATATCATAAACCTGTTAATGTACGCATTCAAACGCTTTTTCTTTTACCAGCTGTATTCACCTTGCAGGTGCAGCTATGTGGCTTTTATCCTGGATAAAGTGTTTAAGTAATGGATGTTTAAAGTTTAACTTCTTCATATTTGACTAATATTAAAGTTCACTTTTCATTCAGGAAGTATGACGCTGCGCTGTCAGTACGCTTGTCCATGTTTGAGATTGGTCGAATGCTCCAAATACCACCCCTTTCATGTGAACGCGCACCTAACTAGATAGGACACGGCTGGCTTGAGCGATCCACTTGATAACCAGCGTCGTAGTACAGTTTAGCGAGAGCGCGTATGTTTTGGATTGGGCCAACCGGCTAACTCAAACATATCCAGGTTAGGAAAATCCGGCTTCGTAGTACAGGCCTCAGGTCAGCACCTCCAGGTCCAGCAGCACCGTGATCCCTGCTCTGCTGAAATACACAATTAAACATTTTCTATGACCTATTTTTTGTATTAATAAAATTAAACTGAAGACAGTTTAATGACCTAGAGATATCCTATTATTCCACTGCTTATGAACACATGTTGTAAATAATGGTTAAAACCTCAGTAAATGAAATAAACAATGTGTTTAACAATTACAATTTAATATTATATTTTCATCTTATCACAAAGTAGAGGTAAGAATATATCCATCCTCTCTCTGCAGCTTTATGTCTTCTATTATTATAACTTTCATCATTGAGACAGAGGAAATCAATCATGTTATTTAACATCATCAGCAGTAAAACAAATATCAGCAAAAGTGTGTTTATCGAGTTGTTTATTTGTATTATATGTGCAGCAAGTAAATAGAAGCAGCTGTTTGGGGAATCAGACAGACTCAAGCTATAATCGTTACATATCTATTAAAAGAAAGGACACATAAAAAATCAAATTCTGAAACTAAGACACAAGTCTGTAGGACAGCAGTAAGCAGAGGTCTGGGTGGAGGATGTTCCTGATCGCCGTTTTGCTTTCTCCAGCACCACGGGGTGTCCAGGTGGATGGCAGCTCTGTCCTAATGATCCGCTGTGCACTTTTCATATTAGGGGTCCTTCTCCAGCACCTCGGTGTCCAGGTGGATGGCAGCTCTGTCCTGATGATCCGCTGTGCACTTTTCAGATTAGGGGTCCTTCTCCAGCAGATCCATTTCTCCAGAATTGTCCTAATTACAGTGAAAAACAAGACAAAAAGAAAAAAGTGAATTAATCATATTAAACAGAGGGTTGCAAAAGTATTATTGCAAAATTTAACTCTAAGCATTTCAGGCAAACAATCCCTAAAGGATCATTTAAAATGATGTACTGTTCTGGGTTTTTTTAAAACTAAAGAGATTAAATCACAGTCACACGTGCATCCCTTTGACAGCACTGCACAAACTAACATCAAGCAAAAGGCTGCTGTCTATTTTTGATTGTCGTATTATTATGGGATTAGGATAAATTAAATACACTTTAACCTAAATAAAAGATGATAAAATCTGGTGGAAATATTTAAAATAGGCTTTTCTTTTAGCCCTACCTCAAAGCAGCATGAGCTGAATGAAAAGGTTGTAATGTTGTCCCAAAGTTTAATAAAGAGTAAAAAATTGGAACATGTCAGAAAAATAAATAAAGCAAACAGCAGCTACAC